TGTGGGGCTAAATTTTTAAAGAGAAGACTCAGGGTTGTATGTCAGTTATAAGACCACAAATATTTTATGTGAAAGAAAAGGTCATAATTTTTTTTAAACCGAATTTAAAGGTGATTTGCACTGTACGTTGCACGTAGTTGCTTAACGCGAGATGCTTAAGCTTGCAACGGCTCCTTTGTATTTGACCACTTAAGGTGCTACATGCATTCTGCATTATTTTATTCGTTCTTATTCGTTTCATTATTTCATTAATTATTAATTATTATTTTATTCTGCCCATCGCTATGCTGTAGAAGCTGTTATTTCTAATATACAACAGCGAAGACGTGAATTATGGATTGTCACGCCGTGGTTGTTCTAACAAGCGCTTAACCTCCTGGCTTCGTCACTTTGGTCTGCTAATATCTCTCTTAGGCAACTACGAGCTGGGTTCCAGTCCGATACGCCACGTTGTTCGGTTCTAGAGTGATGCGCATATGAAAATGTATTTCCGATATATAGAGTACGCAATAATTTGCTATTATATACCATATGTACTATTCCTTTAATACACACTCGATTTTCAAATAATTGTGCATATATTAACACGTTAAAGCGTGCAAACAGTTACCTGATATCAGGAGACATGATCTTGTGACATAATTGGTTCGCTTTAACTGCGAAGCGTTGTTCTATGTTTTTAAACTACATCAAGAATTTCAATATTTTTTTATGGAACCTGACTGTCAGTACAAAAATAACTGGGTCAGTCGACGTCAGCTAAGTTGGTTGCGGTCAGAGATGAACTTCCAAACACAAAATTTGTATTCTCCTGTTGCACGTGAATTTTGCTTCCACCTCGACGCTATCCTTAAACAGTTCTGGTGACCCTTTTTCTATCTGATTGGCGGCAACTGCGAAGGAAGTAGCGATGCATTCAGTTCGAAAGCTTGTTGGCCACCAGTTCCCTTATGAGCCATAATGCTTAGGTGATTTTAAGAACATTCTAGCATAACAGATGCATGCATAATTTAACAAAGGAGCGGAGGCATATGTTTTTAAGATGGACTTAGAAGATGTACAGCTGAATATCTGTATATCTGCCGAGATGTGATTTTCATGCTATTCTCCTACTTCAACCATCAAACATCTCACAGTTCTTCTGTTCGCTTCACGTGAACATAGCCATGTTCTTTTTGCAGATTAGAGGGTGCTGAGAAAACTAATCCGTACCGCAGTTTCTTAGAGCGGTAACAAAAACTGTGCGCTGCATGTTTCTGTTCAAAAACAGAAATATTTTTGAAAAGAGTTGCCTACTGTACGACTGTGTGAAAATTTTGGATTTTCTGCAGTTCGGCCAGACAGTTTAAAGCACGCGTGTCGGCATAGTCCGGAATACAGGTACTGGAGGAGCCTTGTAACAGCCTCTGCTTCTCCAGAATGACAAGTCACAGCTGTGGCAAAACTTGCTCAATCGACCAGCAGACGAACTCAAGAAGAGACAAGAGTAACCTGAGGTAAGTGTCTCGAAGGACCCTGCTCAAGACTCGAGTTGTTTTTCGTTAAGGCTCTAACGCTGTTAGAGGATCGGCAACGTTGGAGAAACTGTTTGACACGTCTGCATTCGCGACCCAAGTAACAAGCGGTCATCGAAACTGACTGACTACCTTAACTCAATGCTTACACCTGAACATCAACATTTGAGCTCGTCCAGAAACGAATTTTTAAATTTGCAAAATGTTTAACTGGAAAGGATCAAGGTGTGATGAGTAGGCGAAAATCGTTTCTAATCGCAATGAAGTCGAAGTTTCATCCTTCAAGCGAAAAGGCTGTTATTCAACAGATCTTGAATCGTAAGAAATGGATTACTGTAAATGCCAGCTGGATTATGCTACGGAAACAAACAGTCCAAGCACTATTTGCACTACCGTAAGAATTGAATATGTACGTAGACGACATTTTCAGTGGATGGTATTGTCCAAAATAAAAATTCTTGGAGAAGATGTGCGACGGTTCCTTTTCCGAGGTTCATTCCGGTCAAGTGTGGAGAGGCTAGCTTCAACATTGGAATCCCATGTTGGTTCTTCAGATTTAAACGACTAAATGGCACCGTATCTTGTTTCCATTTGCTTAGCAAGATATGAAAGTAGACACTGTTTCGTGATATATGTTTATGGAACCAAAATCACGTAATGCGTTGGCTGAATGTTGTCGGTGCTTTAGTATGCAGAATAAAATTTTTTACGTGGTTTGGTGAGTCACGATAAGGCGAAAGAGTTTATTAACAGGCCGTCCAATGATTCCTATACTGAAAACCGGATGGGACTACATGTTATACCGTTTTATATTGTCTGTTCACTGTAATTCCAATGACTCATAATGTTAAAATTTATCGAACATGCTAGCAACAAGCGGTTGAAGACTACCTTGAGAATGTAGACCGGTTAATTCTGATATTATATTAATAAAGGATGATTGAGTGTTCGTTCGTGCGTTGATGATCATACTGAAAACAGTATAGAGCATAGTTTATATATGCACAACACAAGTAATATGGTCAATCGGATGAGAAACTGCAGACTATGCAACGCAGTAAAAAAGATGTATGAATAATCAGATAAAGTAAGAAGGCGTAAAATGGATAAGAGTCTGCGATGCTACTGTCAAAGCGAAGAGGTTGAAATGGGGGTGAGCAAGACATATTGCAAGAAAAACCGAATACCTCTGAACTAAAGAGGTATTAGACTAGGTTTCAGGAGTCAGCAAATGGTCTGTTGGAGGCATGGCGAGCTGCAGAGCTTTTTTGGAGCAAAGTGGAAGACAAACAATCACCGAAGACGTGATTTTGTGGCAAAGTTTTAGATTGGCCTTCACCCAGCAGTCGATCAGAAAAGACCGATGATGATGAGAAACGTAACTGCTTAGAGAGGGCTTGATCACCTGACTCGGGATTGGAACGAGGTTCGAAATTGGTCTAATTTTCCCTCAACTCACCTTCTGTTCTTCCATCCACTTCAACTTGTTTTGCCATCGTCGAAGTTTCCATTGGCTAGTGCTGGACTTCCAAAGTCTTGATGAGCTCTCCATCTCGCCAAGTTCAGCAAGTCATTATGGACAAAGGATTGCTGCACAGTAAGTAGAAAATTCCTCGCAAAAACCAGGTCAATTTCTATTCATCCTACGTCATTGCAAACTGACCTCATGGATAAGAACGGCTTACCAAAAAGTGAGCTAAAATTGTCCTTAGCCAGTGAATTTATGAACTAAGGGCATTCAGCTTCGTTATTCTTCGACAGTAATTCTCTATTTTAAATTCAAATTAATTTGTCTCCATGTTATGCAAAAACAGCCATCTGGCAGAAAATATTTATGTGCAAAATACAGCCTGGAAAACTGGTCATTGGATGATTTGTTCGCTACGTTTCCCATAAAGTATTAAACTATTAAATATTGCTTGAAGGAGCAACAGCCTCCCTACTTAAACCATGCAGCGACAGCGACAGATTCGCATCGTTGATTTTGAGGTAAATATTGATAACAGCCGCTTTCAGTCCAGTTCAGTCGAGTCTTGTGCCTTTAACCGACGTCGTCCCTGAAAACAGCTGTTTGTGCCTCTTGTTCAGTGAACAGCGGTGCGCAGCCCTCAGAAATTGTGGACATACGAAAAGAACGGCTTGAAACACTACAACCTTGCCATACCTTATAACAGACTGAGTCAACTTGGTCCTTACTACTCCGACAGTACGCTGCGGAGCAGAGTGACGTATGCCGGCGATTCCGAGGGTGTTACGACGCTAACAGTAAAGAAACATTTCGCGTTACAGCTTTCGAACAAACGTGGCTACGAAGGCTGGCTGGTCAGTTCTTTTTCGAATCTCAGGAGCTGAGCGTAGCATCCGGTTATTAGTGCGGAATCTGTCCATATTTGTGCGCACCTTTCGTCAGTTTCGTTTCGTTGCGCTCGACGCACGTCAAACGCCGAACGTCAATCATTACTCAGCATTCCTCAATTGTCATCAAACTTAGTACAACTAATGATTGACGCGTTCCGTTCGATGATGGCTACTTCACACAACTGCCAGTAACCAGGTCGTCGTTGGCGAACGGCAGCCGACGACGACTAGCCGTCAAGCAGTGGGTGGTCGAACGCAAATTTGGTTCAATGGAGCTTAATTTGCAACAACTACTCTCTGAAGTAACGGCGTCACGTTGTCCACAAATTTGTTCTCCCTCGTCGATTTCGTCTGGCGAAAATAAGCAGGCCACAACTACAGTAAAACGTCAATCGCAAGGGGAGCTACGGTAGAGTGCACCGTTCAAACCAGTGAAAACCTGTCACGAAGTACGAAACGTCCGGCCGACGAACAGTCGCTAAAAAGCATGCCTTCATGCCAAATCTACACAAGAGAGAAGTTTTGTCAGGTGATAGGAGAACAGGTAGATTAAAACTTATATTTAAGTGCCTCGATTCGGCACAGCAGGGTAAAAAACTGAGAAGGCCCCTTAAACAGGACGGATGGAAGAGCCAGGGGATCCCCGTAGGCCTTCATTCGATTTGTGACAAACCACCTTTGTGACCATCAGTAAGAAACATGAAGTAGGTCAGTGGTTTTGTGGCCAGCCGTGCCTTAGTTCTACCATTTAGCTGTACAAACGCGAGTTTAATTTTAAAAAATTTTATCACGTAACAGAGGGTGCTATGCTGGGCTAATTTTCTGTTGGGTCTGTTGATTTTGGGTTTGTCCGTTCCATCG